AAAGGTCTTTATTGATCTGCTTTCGCGGTTTCTTAATTGCTGAAGCGATGGAAGTGTTTGGGTTGGCCTCCCATTTGGAGCATCTGTTCTAAACAATCACACTCTAGCTAGAATCAGCAGAAGGTCATTCGATCATAAAATTGATGAGTTCTTTGATATTCAGTCAGCATTGTGCAGTCTACTGTATTGCATGACGTGATCAATACGTGTGATCTTTTAAAACATTTATTGATTAGAAGTGTGGCTCTGTAAGAAGAATGCACATTTGAGCACACAATTACCAAGCAATATTAAAGCCATTTAAGTAAAATAAAATAAAAAATAGTTCCTAACAACGGCAGCAAGAGAATGACCACAAAGAAACAAGACAATCACACTTTTCAGCACCATTTCTAAGCTTTGCAACTCTGCAAATATGACCATACAGCACATAAAATTCCAGCATTTATTGAAGCCAGATAACAATTCATTCAAAACAATGTCCAGAAATCAAAGAATCAAGTTTTTGTGGTTGTAAAACTTAAGATATAAAACTGGCAGCTGCGCTTGCCGGGTAGTTGTTGTTTCAAGTATTAAAGGACATCATTTGTCAATTATATAATGTTAACATATTTGAGCTATTCAAATCTGTTGATAATAATAACACAGTATAAGACCTGTTCCTAGTTTCAATATTTAGTTCAGCAACTACCATGAAGGCAAATAAATTAATAATTATAAAAACATAACTTGATAAAATTAATATGAAAAAAATCAATATTGACTTCAATTTGTATTTTTACGGTAAAATTACGTAATATATGTATCAATTTACTGTTTAACACTATACGGTTTTTACTATCATTTTACTTTTTTTTCATTTTTTTATTGTATTATTTATATTATCTGCTACATTATTCTTTCTACATCAGACTGACCAAAGGTATTCCATCGATCATAAAGTCACAAAGATGGATCAAGTTTTTATAATGATGTGTGCAAAAGATCCGTAGGGCCTATTTGGTAGATCTTTTTGGAGTCTAATTAAAATTCACATGTAATTGCATGCTTTCAAACTCAGCGGTCCACTCAAGTCACACAATTAGCTACTGTTTTGTTGCGTTCATGTTTTTATTTGTAGTTAAAGCGCTTTGAGCTCTGGAAAGGCGCTAAATTAAACTTATTAGTATTATTATCACAATTATGAACATAAAGATATTATCAAGCTTGTGGTCTCACAGTTGTGCGCACACAGACGCACTTTCTTATAGCTATTCATTATTTTTAAAATAAGGAGGTCTGTAAAATATACAGGCCTATGGAAAATAAAATAGTACGCAAATTAAATTGATAAATTGAAAATAATCACATTTGCTCTTATAAATCAATGAAGTAGTGTA